GCTCATCGTGAATATCGTTAGTGTGGAGTCATCATGTTCAGGTTTGGATTGCAATCGCTCATGGCTGCGTCTTCCAGTGTCCAAGGATCAGCACCGTCGAGAGGGCAAGGCTGTGGCAAACTGCCGTGAAGATCTGGCGCGGGCTGCCCAGCAAAAGTGTGGTGCCTGACATCATCTCGCACAACTCGGCTTCTTGGGTTGAATGGTGGGATGCCCACTTGAAGCAGCCCCATTGCCTCCTTCACAAGCCTTGCACATGGAAGCATTGCAAGAACAACGAGGTAGAAATATTCTTCAACCAACTGCAGGGTCCCTGCCTCCATTTTGTTCATCGGGCCGCTAAGTGCAGGTCATTGCGGCCTTGGTGCGGGCTTGGGAAGTTGCCTTGGTGGTTCTACTGCAGCTACACGCCCGTCCAGGCTCCTCTGGGCCTTTGGACTGAGACATGCGGGAGTGTATCTTGAAAAGATGCGCTGCTTTTCGTAGGGCTTATAGTTTATGAGGTTTGGGATGGGATACGGGTGTCAGGCTTTTTCCTGCTCCCTTCAGATAAGTTTGCGCAGAGGCGGCACACACCGATCCTCATGCTTGAGCAGCGGCCAGGTTTTGCCATGTTCGAGGAGCAACTTCTGGTATGCTTGCAGGCCTAGTGGGCCTCAACGCGGCTTTGCGCAGCTTGGCGCAAGGAGCCCAGTGGCTGCTGGCCCTGCAACTGGTGGGAGCATCGAGGCGCAGCCCAGCCCCATCCTGCATGTCCATATCAATCCAGTGCAGGCAGGAGGTCTCGCGATGTCTTTATTCTGCAGTGATCTCTGAAGGCGCCAAACTGCTGCGATCTCATGCATCACCTTCAATTCGCTCATGGCGGCCTGCGAGAATGGCACCCTGGCAGCCAAGCCTTGCAAGTGAGAAGCAATGGCAGAAGGTATATCAAGTCAGGCACGCTGGACAATCAACAACCTCGCAGCGTCAGACAAGAGTCCCGTAGTGCCTTCCTCTTTTTCTTACTGTTGTGACGTGACTGCCATAGGAGGGCCATTTTGAGCAGAGAGGCCATACAGAATCCCGAGTCCGGTCGCCTTCACTGTCCCACGGTCATGTCTAATTACTTGCAGGGGTCGCTGCAGGGGCAGCCGTGTAACAAACCCCATTAAAGAACATGGGGAGAGTCAGCCCTTGGCTAAATCCTGGGAGTTGGAAGTGGCAGCCCCAGACTAATGCTTCGTGATTAGGATGTATTCGTAGACAGCAGATGCGGGATGATCCGGGAACGTATTGTTACTGGCACTGAAATTTCAATTCCATGTTTGTTCTTCGTTGAGGACAGGGGCATGCCGCCAAGCAAACCTCACCTTTTATGGAGGGGGTTCATGGCCGTTGAGAATGGCCATGGCAGTATAGAAGGCCAGGACATGAGGCGGAAAAGGAGGGTCCACAAGAAGTTGGCAACCTGTGTAGCATAGATGACATCATTGTAGGTCTCCCTATCGGCTTGCAAGCTCACCTGCCAAGATGGACAGTGGCAAGCAGCTTTGAAGCTACTGAAAGAGCTGCCGGAGCACAGATTGCTGTTTGGATGCAGTTGGCATTGGGCGCATAAACAAAGCTCATTGTGGGCTCAAGACTTTGTCAGGCTACGGGATGAGGTGGGCTTCAACACTGCCATCAGCGCTTCTGAGAAAGGCACGCCGGACCCTCTCTATCCTAGCTTGGGCAATTCCAGCATTCACGGGCATTCTCGCCAAGTACTTGACTGATCCTTGCTTATCCTTCAAGCTCCATCCATGTAAGCTGTATGCTCGCCATGCTCCGTCGTGTCATTCCGGCAGCATGGCGTAGCAGGAGCCACTGCAGCCGTGGCAAGTTTGTCGGTGTAGTCGTCTGAGGGTGCCAGCAGCATGAGAGCAGTCTTTGTCATCGTGCCAGCGGCAGGAGTAGTAGGAGGACGAGCCAGAGTACTCGCAACCCATGTGCTTAGCGCACAACCACTTGTACATGGTTTCAAGGTTTACTAGTTGTAATTAGGATTGAGTGGTTCAAGGGCTTTGCGGTCTAGAGGTTCTCAGGTTAGCTTCGGTTTCTAGTCTTGGAGGTGTTATGAATTCGGAATTTCAGATTTTAGGTTTGCAGTGCTCCTCTTTCTGGTATCCAGCTATCTGCAGAGGCCAGGCGCAGATAGGGAATCTAAGGTTCACTGCTTGCGGGCTTTTGGTTGTTGCTGCGGCTGCTGCATGGTACTGGTGAGTGCTGTTGTGGTGATGATGGTGAGTGGTGACGATGATGTTGTCGTTGATGATGATGGTGGGTGGCGGGTGGCGGTGGCGGTAGGGGGTGTGCGGTGGGGGTGGTTGTTGTGGATAGGAGAGATGCAGCCTGGTTTCAGGCTCGCGGTGGACAGTCGCGTCATACCTCTTGAATGCTGCGGGGCGACAGATAAAGGCACCTGAGCCAAAACTTGCAGGGAATGTGCTGGCATCCCAGAGCCGTACAGTCAGATGATGTGTGCGTCTTTGCTTCTTGTCCATGACGTGATTAGGCTCAGGAGCAGGCAGGTATGGAGGAAGCAGCAGTCGCCAGCCTGTTGAAGCACAGCGTGGTCTGATGTTGATTGATGCCGAGCAGTTGGATCCAAGGCAGATGTGCTGAGCTTCGGCTCCGTCACAGCCGCTTGCAGGAAGCGACACTATTGAATTTGCAATGCGTTTCAGCTGCCCAATGATTTCCCCCTACCTGACTTGCACTGTTGCATCGTACCTGTATGCAGAACACCAGACCGATGGCAAACTGCGGTCAGTGTATGCAACGCGATGCATGTGGCGAAGGCTGGCACTCAGTTTGGTAGTCAAGCACAAAGCAGCCTCTGGCAAATCCAGAAATACTCTGCAGCTACGCTGCTAGCATCTAGTAACTAGTAGCTTTCCGTTGCCTCAGGTAAAGATGGACGTTGTGGCTTGCAGCTCCTCGTCATGAACTGAACAGTTCCAGGACAAAGTAGGCAAGATTGAGGTGCTGGCTTGTTCAAGATAACGCCATAATAACATGCAATTCCTGTCGCTCTCCCCGAGCAATGCGCTAAATTTCATGTGTTGATTACTGTGTTGGGAGAAGCTGAAGACTTTCAAACGGCATTGCAGCGCTTTGCAGTTCCACATCCAGGTGCCATCCTCAGCGCGCTTGGCAATGGAGGAAAGTGGCAGCGAGCTGCACACCTCCATGCGAGCAGTGGTGCACTGTGGGAGGAGGACTGCAGGTCTGGGACGGCTGAGGCTGCGGCACGTCCAGTGCAGTTGGTAGCCAGCTTCCCCACGAGGAGTTGCCTTACAATGCGCTGGCATGGGCTGTTGCGCAAGGGGAAAGGCAGCCTCGAAGGACTGCCATGCAGCCTGCATGCATCATAATGGACAACTCGGAGGAAGTGTATCAAGCTAGCTAAGTAAAGTTGCTCAGGTGATCCACCGGAAACGAGCTCGCCTCCTCCAATGAGATTGCCTTTTGCAGACACCTTTGATGGAAGAAGCCTACAGGAGAGCATTCGCCATTTCGATGAGCCGGACGAGCAGACTATCAGGAATCATCTCGTACCGTTCTGGTGCCGGAGGGCATTCGTCGGGATGCCAGGCTGCATGTCCCAATATGTGCCGCCGTCACAACACCGGGCACGGAGGCCTGCGTCGTGCCAACGCAATCCTACAGATGAGAAGATGGACAAGTGTGACATCAGCTTTCTACTCCGCAATGCCTGTGCCGGCAGTGTTCCTACGATACGCAACCCAAAGTTCAAATACCATGCAGTCTTAGCTCATGCCGAAGAACAAAAGTTGGACACAACTTCAATGCTCCCTCGGTGGACCATTTCTGGGTGTGAAGGATGTGTTCTTAGCTCGCCATGGTCAGATGGTCAGCTCGTCTGTTTTGGAGAAATGCAGATGACCGTATGCAGAGAAGGGGAATGTGATCATTATTCATACTATTATGATCATTAATACTATCATGTTTGTTGCTACTAGTATTGCTCGTATTATGCCCCATCACTCTGCCAGCCGATGTGGCCACACAAGTCACAACCTGGGCCAGCATTGGCCTCCCTGAGTGCTTACGTGCGTGCTTATTGCCAGAACTGGGTTGCTGCTAAGGAGCTAAGTTAGCATGATATGGGTATGTTGTAAAACTTGGTTTCCTTATCATAGGAATTCTAAAAAAGGTCCACAAAGAGTATATTCCTGGGTCCGAAGCAGCTTAAAGTGACAGAAAACGCGCTAGCACCAGGATTCCTATCAACATTCAACAATCCTCTAGACCCCAAGTTTCCAACAACTGAAGCGCATGCATTGCCTGCATCTTCCCCCAACCTTTGCATAGCCTTATCCCCAACTTGTCTTCAGAACCCTCATCGGTGTAACTGTTTTGAGTTCATCGTATGCGGTTTCCTTGCTTGAATATGTCAACTTTCTTCCCAACATCGAACTCTGGCCTAAACTTGGTGATTTGTTCCTCATGGTCGGGTTTAGTCACATCAAAGTGTTTGGAGTCTGCTGCATCACAGTACTGTAGAACATGTCTAGCTTAGGTTCTGGTGGGATTGCAGGCAGTGGGGCATTCAGTTCTCGCGCTTAGTAGTGGCAAGTGGATGGACCGCAGGGAGGATTACAGTTTGCAAGTGGGCATGGACCCTGCAAACTTTATCGAGGAAATAGTCAGCTAAGCTGCAGCTTTTGCAGCTGTTGAAAGGTCCTGTAGGCTAGTTTTCTTGAAGGTCAGATCGTTAGGTCGCCTGGTCTCCCTGCAGCTTCCTGCGACTCAAAGCTTTGGCCTGCGCTGGCCGTGACTTCCTACCCCAGCAAGCACACAAGCATCCCTGCAGCCATAAACAGAAGTCCTGTGACCACCCACAGAGTGTACTGCTTGGCTGGCTACATTCCCTGCCTCAAATTCATCAAGGCGCAGGCGGCTTGCGTTGGCCTAGTCGCACCGGCAGCGCGCCGGGTTTCACTGCGCAAAAGATGGCCCTCCCTCTCCAGATGAAGCAGGTTGAGGTGCAATTTGGAGCTTTGCCTTTGAGTGTCTGACGTCCTGTGCCTCTTGCCAGGCCAAACTCGGAAAAGCGGTGGAGACTGTCAAGCGGTTACTACATGCAGAGAGAGTGCCGCAGTTTGCAGGTCTGGCTGTGTGCGTATGCAGGGACCTTGCAGAGCCATGTTCTGATTTCCAGGCAATGTCCACCACCAGTACGAGGATAAGTACTTGCTCGTGGAAAGAGTAACGTGCTTGGCAGCCGCATCCCAGCTGTGCCTTGCCCGCCTTTGGCCAATATAACCCATACATAAATACATACCCTATTTATAATATAGTAACTATAGTAGTTTCCATTTTATGTTCCATTATTTCTATATTATGCCAGCATCGTTTACTCCAATACTTGCGTACCAATGCCCACTGATTCTGGCTTGTTTGGACGTGAGAAGTCCCATTCAGACTTCCAAGATGAGCACAAGATTAGCCTGGCTGGTATTGTTGCATCTGAGACCAGGCTCCCTCTGAGACGACTTAGACACTACATCTAGGTTTAGTGCCTACAAGGCACCGGAGTAAAGTCTCCGCGTGCGTAAATACCGGTGTCACATGCAGCTGCATCATGAGTGAAATGAAATCCGAGGACTAGATAGGGGCTGCAGATGGAAGAGATGGACAAGTTTAGTCTGCAAAGAAAGTCCCAAATGCATACTTGAACATGACAAGCCAGATCATGCTTTTTCACGGCAAAGGCCTGGGGCCTGGAGGGCTAGCAGAGAGCCAACAAGGTGAGGGCCTGTAGGTTCAAGATTTACGAAAGCACCGGACCATAAACAAAAGTTTATGGGGATGCGTATGACCTTTTCACCTGTTGAAATCGAAAAGGAGCTGTCTTGGCATGCTTGGACTCACACACGAGCACCTTCAGACGATGCGCAACTGGGCTGCGGAAGGACTTGGGTTGAAACCTTCAGTGAAAGGGTAGTTTCCCCCAAAAGGGGGAGCCAATATAGACGCCAATATAATTTTGTCCTTATTATGGGGGACACCGAAAAGGTACCTCTAATTTTGGCAAACCTCCACATGTTCCGACAGCCCGCACTTCGGCTTTTTCTCAATTGGCATTTCGTGCGATGAGGGCTCGTGCAAGCGCAGACATCACAGCTTGGAAGGATCTTCCGTGTCGTTGCGGTTCAAGTCCAAGGCCTCGGGGTAGCGATGCCCCACATTTCCAAAGACCAGTCCAGTAGCCCTGATGCCACTTGAAGCTTGAACATCTGAGCGACTGCCTTCATTATCGTATATGAGCCAAGGTCAGATATACATATACCGACGTGAACAAAACCTTACTAAAACCATAGGCCCCCCCCAAGACGATACCTGCAAACGGCAACTTATACGAATCCCACCCAAAAGCAAACATGTGGGGTATCCAGGCGAGGGATCTTGCAAAACACTGCAACACGGTAGGTATAACCACCGCAGTGTGCCAAAACCTTGTAAAACGATAGGAACATATAGGAACTTTCCAAAAAGCAATACGTTTATGTTTTATTTAGCCGCTTATTAGTAAATTATGCAGGTGCTCATATGCTTCAGTAATTGCAGCTTTCTCAGCCAAGCACCGATGGTTGCTGCCAGGAAGCCTGCAGTTTCTTGAGGGAGGAGACCCGAGAAGAGGAGGACCCGAGGCGAGAGGGCTTGTCTAAAGGTTTAGGGTTTAGAGTTCAGGGTTTAGGGTCTGGAATGTAAAATTGGATGAATGTGAGCAAGATCACGCAGGAAGCACGTGGAGGAACGAAGCATCGGTGGAATGGTGCGGAGCGCGGTGACTAGCAAGGCTTGAGCGACCTGTTTGCTTCAAGATGCTTCAATCATGGCATGTAGGTAGCCACTTGTGTTCAAACCCGTAAGGTAGCCGCCTAATCTTGATTCTCCCGCCTCTGTGAGTATCCTTGTAGATCCAAGCTGCATGCTGCCGTAGTTGTTTCAGGCTTCTGCCTGAACAGCCTTGCAACGAGTTCACCAAAATGGGCGCTGGAAATCACGCAAAATCAGACCCATCTGCAAAAAGCATCAAACCACACATTTCAAACAAATGCAACAAGGGAGGTCTAAAAGGTAGTTCTTGTGTCTGCTCTCGTTACCATTTCGCAGCATGGCGTTTTAATCTGAGCCTTGTGTCACCAAATCTGCGACAGGTTCGTGTATTGTGGGTAGAGAATGGGATGGAGTCGTAGTAGTTGCCCTGCTTCATCCTCGTGCCTGTTTGCAGCATTCCACCATGCGGTCAGGTTGTCACGAAGATCACAGAGTACTTCTGGCAGTTTGAGGCTTCCTATTCTTTGGAAGCTTTTCGCGGCTGGGTTGCTTTTAGGGACCTTACATTAATTTCCTATAATCAGGAAACATAAGGAAACGCTATTATTTACCATGTACCCATATTATGCTAACTTATTTAACCATAATATGGGTATAAAGTGATGATAGGGTTTCCTTACTATCGTAACTGATTGTCAGTTCCTTAACAGCCACCCAGGTGGGGTTGGATCGGACTCCGCAGATCGGCTGGTTCTTGCCAGCTACACAGGGGCCACGGAGCTCAAGACCACCACCAAATCTCCTGCCCCACATCCAGAAGCAATTGGGTTGCTGTTGAGGATCTTAAATGAAGTTACTATAATGGAGGAGCCATATAAATACTATACGTACGCATAAATTATGGTAGCTTAGCATAATTACTCTCTATATATATATATACACATCTAGGTTTATATATGTACCCAATATGGTAAGTTTTTTAACAGCAACTCAGGCAAGGGTTCCAGCAATCAACCAGGAAGTGAACATCACCTGGCTCGTCCAAGCTTTAAGCAGTGAACCGGTGACGCCTCAATTCCAAATCAATCGGACTGGCGCTGAATCTGGGTTGCTGTTAAGGAATTTAAATTCAAGTTACCATAATCGGTATATATAGTAAAGTAATAGGGTTTCCCCATTGTAGTAACTTGAGTTACAAACCAGGAATGCAAGACCCCACGGAGGAACCCGGAGGTTCAGAAGGCGGTTGAACACTTCAACTCCTTTGCTTATTGGACACAATATGTGGTGGACTACTTCCACCACCTCCGAACAGTTCAGCCTCGAAAGCCTGATGAAAGCACTTTCTGTACCGATTCAATCTTTGTGCCCATTCTTCCGCTCATGTTCAATGACGCTTGACTGCAAGGATGGCTGAGCGATTGGGACTTGCAGAAATGCCAGTTCAGACATGCAGAACCATGTAGTCGAAATGGCGTCTCTAATCCATGGCTCCTTGCAGCTGATGGCTGCGCACTCTTGACAGTAGCTATGTCTGCCGGCAACTTTAGTTGTTCGCCAGCTGGCCGCCAGCAAGCATTTTGGCAGTAAGGACAGCGCCACGGCGCAGGCTGTGCGAGAAGCCCCGCCCGCAGGCAGCAGACATTTCAACTCTGCTGATGTGTAAGGCGGCAATGTGCTCTCAATAGCAGGACCTACAATGCATGTGAATCTCTGCCATGCAAGACTTTTGGTATCGTCTTTCTACGAACACTTGGCAGCACAAAGCCGAGCAAGCAAGTTCCTGGATCCGGAGGGCTCCTGGCCGTTCTGCAGTCGAGCCATCCAGAACAAGGCAGCAGGGCACAGAGACTCCCATGTTACCTCTGATAGTGCTATATGACTACTTTACTATACTCCTAAACTAGGCTTAAGATACCCATTATGATAAGAGAGAAGCCTCTGCAGGTCCTGTGCTGTCTACCGGAGATGGGAACTGCTTCCTGGCAGAGGAGCTCCGATGCCTGAAGGACCGCTGCACCTCACCGCGGTCGGTTATTGACTTAAGACTGGGTAGGCTCCTGGGATATTTAATATTTTCCCTAATGGCTTTAATGGGGGACCCTATGTATTACTATTTTTCAAAGGGTGGGGGGGGGGCTCAACCCAGAAAACTACAACGGGCACTCCTTTTGAAGGAGCATCGGAGCAACGTCGACATCGCGTTCCCAGCAGCTGATGGTGACTCGGACAGTGAACTTTCTGCCTGAGACAGGGGAGAAGATGGAAGAAGCTTTGTCCACTGCCTTGCCTAAGCCCTAAGCCCTAAGCCCTAGTTTCAATAAATAGGGAGACCCCAAAATGGGACCTAATATATACCCAAAAACTTCGTCCACTGGCTTGCTGACCTAAGGTCTTGTCAGGGCGGCGGAAATTAGCACAGCGGTTGTCCTGCTTCACAGCCGCGATGTGTGTGACGCGTGGAAGAAAACTATGGAGTATGTGGAAGGCCGGCTGCTGTGAGCACGAGGAGTTTTGATATTTCTAGGCATCCGAAAGCTGTCGTTTGTATGAGCAACTTAACCACCCCCAGACAAGGTAATATCCACTATCAAGTGACATTGCCAGATGTCCACCACACACGACAGTGTAATGCCCGCGCACATCAGGCAGCCCTGGACTAAATTTGTAGTATATCCCTTAATCGGTCCCCCCGAAACCCTATATAGTCCCCTAGTCCCCCCAACCTAAATTTAGTCCGTGGGGACCCTTAATTTACCTTAATATACTATTATACTTTATACTTTATACTACAGTAGTTTCCATTTATTTTCCATTATCCCTAGAGAGCCCCAATATATACCCTATATATTCCCTATAATTAGAATCCCAGTATATACCCTATAATCCCTATATAAGCCCCAAAGGCCTTTGATAACGGTGGCAAGGCATGCTCCGACAGCAGCTTTCAGCTGCGATTGGTAACGAGATCGGCCCGGCCGAATTTGCAGCCTACATGCAGTTCCACTACAGGAACCTTGACCAGAAATGGGCCATTTAGGGTTTAGGGTTTTAGGGTGTAGGGTTTATCCAGATGCCAGGAGAAACTGTAAGACATAATGTGATAGCATACATGGATTCGAATTGGTTTTGGGCTGTTGGCATTATAAGCAGGTGCCTAATCAAGCTTCGTTGTTTTCTTTTTGACGCGGATTGTAGTAGAGCTAAGTATTTAACTAAATCGGGGCTGTCAGACTCGAACGTACTGTGAAGCTTTCTTGAAAGGGCTTCGCAGGTGCCATTAATTCCATATGCAATTGCGGATTTGATAATTGTACATTTGCTCGGGAGACCATGGCACGAAGGCGTACGGTAAAAACTGCCACTCAAGGCAGAACCCTGGGCGGGAGACCGCGGAAGGTTTTTGGGGACGCGTTTCCTTACTCACTTGTTTACAGGAAAAGCTTTCGCTGTCTGCTTGCCAGTCCAAGGAAATTATTCCTTGACAAGTACCAGCCAAAGCAGCCTCTTTGATATGCACCAAGAGTTTTCCCGAGCAACCACGCGCATGTTGTGCTCGACGGCTCCTGCGGAAAGGTTCTGCTTTCCGGTGAGACGCTCCGAGAGACATGCTCCCGAAGGGACAATTAGTTTAGACGAGGAAGCCACGGGCTTGATAGATGGTGGCAGCATTCGCTCGCCTGTCGCTTCTTGATTGGCATCAGGCAGCAGCACGTGAGGCATGTGCATGAATATTCGATGATATAAGGATGTCGGCTCCTGTGGTTTCCTAGCACTGTTGGTGAAGTTGTCGTTGGCTGTCAGGTAACCATTTCGCAGTGCAGCAGCAATCCAGTGGCCATGTCCTTTGACCTCAGCGCGTCGACCACCGTCACCTTCAGCGGCCAGGTACACCTGCATGGGTGGCTTTCCCACAGCTTCTCAGGGCAGAACGGCTGTAACCTTTTCCTGACATCGAGGGCGAGGCAATTTAGCTCCATGGTGGTGCTGGTGGGTCGGGTCACTTCGGCGACCACCTTCGACCCCACATATGCGGCCATCGTCCAGAATAAAGATGAGCTTAGCATACCCCTGGAGCTCTCTGTCATTCCCACACCGAAGGAGTTCAAGGACGCAATCGCTTCGCTATCACCGGAACAGCAAGCGTTCGCAAAAGCCTTCCGTGCAGCTGGCATTTGAGTTCAGTTATGCATTTTTTTTGCTTTCGCGGGACGCAGGTTGCCCTAGTCAATGCCCACAGCCTGGAAAGCTTCGCCTACAGTCTAATGTTTTGTATTACGGGTTGGCTCTTCGCCCTCAATGCTGAGGCCATGCAGCTTGAAAGCACGCTGTTCGGTGTTGCCGTCACCTGGCGACTTTTCCTCATGTTTTGGAATTGTGATTTCTGCGGTCTCTTGCATCAAGCCTGTGCTGTAGCAAGATGTTAAAGCTGTTGCTTGACGTAGAAATGGTAGTTTCCCGAAATGAGGGGACTTCAGCATAGACGCCCAAATAGTATAATGCTCATTACAGGGCCCAAAAGGTACCCCCAATTTTGGGAAGCCCCAAAACCCTAAACCCTCACATACCCCTCATATAAGCCCTGTAATATGCGCCCTTTAAAGGTACCCCCTATTTGGGGAAACTACCAGATGAAAATTGCAGCAGCTGAACGGAAAGAGCGATGCCCGGAAGGTGGTGCAAATCAAACCTCAGCTGGAGAAGTTGCTCAACCTAGCTGTGGACAGCCTCACCAAGGCATGTGCTAAGTTACCCAGGGGTGATACTGCTGGGAATTACATAAAGAGATTATATATATTTTAATCTGTATATAGGGAATGAAAATCAAATGGGAAAGAACATGGGACTTCAAATGGAAGCTGCCATTTAGGTACTGCAGTGCATTCCTATCTCGCACCGTGTCGAGATTTCACGTGATGGCGATCTGTGGCAGGAAATTAAGCTGACCCAGGACATCATGGAGCTTTTTCTGAAGTGCCCCTGGAGCTCTATGTCTACCTTCCCAGACCAAAGCGGGAAGGGATCGTTACATTAATCTTGAGCTGCAGATCTCCTCACCATTTGACACCGTTGATTGCGGCTTGCCCCTTGCAAGGTACCAGATCCCCAGTGACTTGCTGTCCTTCGACGAGGAACCTGTGGCTGGATCCACTTTCGCGCCGCCGGCAAGGCCTGCAGAGCGTGTGGCTACCGTCAAGGGGCATGCACCTTGCTCAGATTCTCAGGCATGTTATTCCTTGTCTGCTGTGGGTTTTTAGTGTGTGGTGCAAGGATGTACAGGGCCTTCTGAGTTGGGGGGAGGAACGAAGACAATTTGAAGTTGTACACAGAGCACGTCACGTCTTGAGCAACCTGACCCGCCGGCAAGGTGAAGGCAATGCTTGACATGATTGATGAGGAAAAGCGGTTGGAGATCGAGGAGCGTCGCCGGCAGGAGGAGTACCTCCGTCCCACGCTGGCACCGTTCGACATCGTAGTTGGTGGCTCGCTGCTGATCCCAAGCTGAGGCCCGCAACTCATGGAGCTGCACCGTGGGGAGCTCGAGGACTGAGAGCTGCAAACCCATGAAGCTCCGCTCATTTCCAGCCGGATCATGTCGTAAATTCCACCTGCCAAATCCACTGGTGTCATTGGAGGACTGCTTGGATGGCGCCATGCACGAGAGATTTGCACTTGAAGTGGGCTGCCCAGCTAACCAGCAATCAGAAGTCTAGGATATCTAGAGCCCTAGCCGGACTCGCTGCTGAAGAAAGTGTTGGCAACATGAAGGAGTGCAAAAAAGAAGCAGAGGAAGAAGGCCTGTTCACCTTTCGTGGGGAGAGCTATGCTTGAGGATCGGGATCTTTTCTCAGCCCCCAAAATGCATAGCTTATCCAGTTGATAGCTGCCAGCTGTAGGACCGTGAACCCTTTGCTGCTGATGTTTTGCGAACGTCGAGTCTGTTTGAAGACAGCCCACAGCTGCTAGGTCTGAAGCTGGAAGTCAAGAAGAAAAGGAAGAAATGCAAGATGATTCGGCCCTAGTGTCTTGCGTTGCAGGGTCGGCTCCGAACGGTGTGCTGCCTTATGCAAACGCAGATTAAACTCACAGCCCACGCATCTGCAAAGCCTCACCTGCTCGCCAAGGCAGTCCAGGGAGAAGGAAGCGAGGCAAGAGAGAAGAATTTTGGGAAAACACAATTATGAATAATCATTTTAATTTTCTGCAATAATATCAATAGTGGTGGTAACACTAGTAATAACACAGGAATGCCCTGGGAGCAGGACGACACAGCCTCCCACAGTTGAAGTGATGGCCTGGATCATGCTCGATGCTACAAAGCACTCATCTACCATTTTGTCAGGGCGAGCGAGGTGATGATAGAGATGACGGCAGACCCTTGCTCAGCACAGGACAGCTGCCTTGGAATTCCAACTTTTTTGGGCAAATGGCAAACTCTTGGCTGCGTATCCTACCCCCCAGTGCCTCCACAAGCAGGCTTCTTTTGTGAAGGCACTTGAAGGGCTGAAATGCTCAAGACATGCACATGAGGAGATTGGTTTCTTCTGAAGGCCCAGAGCCAGAGAGCCCAATGTGAAGATCAAAGACACTAGCATAAACTGGAACTGCAGACAGTAGACCCAGCGCTTACATTCGAGTAGGATTCTCCCTTTTCACGTCTGAAGTCATAAATTTACTGGACTCATGGAACGATCTGTGGGAAGCATATGATACTCGTATGAAGGACTTGTGTGAGAGAGACGAAAGCATGTGGACATCTTTTCGAGTGCTGCAGGAACCGGCTCAGTCCTCCGACTCAACAACGCAGAAGGACTTGAGCGTTTAACGGGGCTCAGGGTTTTAGGATTTAGGGTTTGGACAAGGGGTATGTGAGCAGATGTGATGAGAGATGAATGATTCGCCAATTTGAGAACGGCCATTCTCTTGATCAAGATGTAATGCGTCAAAATGGAGACTTTAGGTAATTGTCATTGACAATCGTAGCATTAATCATAAGAGCAATAACAGTACGTACTAATAACAACAGTAAGAATCGTATTGTTGTAATACAAGCCATAGTCTAAACTCCTACCATCCCCGTCAATATCCCCTTATAGTCCCCCCTCTCCTTCAAGGACTTTCAAGGACTTCAGACTGTAGCCCTTCAGCCCTAAGCCCCTATTTGAGCTTTAGTCTAAACTCCTGGTATCCCCCTTAATAAGCCCTATGATACTTCCCTATATGGTCCCCGACATAATCCCCCTTCAAGGACTTCAGACTTCAGCCCATATCCCCTCTTAAGGAGTTTAGAGTATAGCCTAGGTCGACCCCCCACCCAATAATAGTGCCTGTGAAGGAATAATAAGGGTCATTTTCGGGTCCTCCTACACAGCGTGACGGGCTCCTCCTAATTTAGTATTGCCATTAACCCTAAACCCCTAAACCCCTAAACCTTAAACCCTAAACCACTAAACCCCTAAACCTTAAACCCTAAACCACTAAACCCTAAACCCTAAACCCCTAAACCTTAAACCCTAAACCCCTAAACCCCTTATAGCTCAATAGAAGCAGGCTACTGGCCAGCCTTGCCAAGCAATCCCAGGACAACTCCCAAGCGGAGCCTGGCCAACAGGGCCAAGGCGATAGCTCAGCCACCCCCCAAAAAGGGTTTAGGGTTTAGGGTTTATGGAGAATCAAATGGAAAAGAACATGGAAAATGAAATGGAAACTGGGATTATAGGGTTTATAGGGAGTATAATGATAATGGAAAAGAAAATGGAAACTACCATAATGGGTTATAGGGATTAGGGTTTAGGGTTTTAGGGTTTTAGGGTTTCAGGGTTTTAGGGTTTTAGGGTTTAGGGTATTGCAGGGATCTTAGGTCTTTCTAGGGTGGATTATATAGGGATAATGGAAAAGAAAATGGAAACTACCATAATGGGTTATATAGGGTTTAGGGTTTAGGGTTTTAGGGTTTAGGTTGGGTATTGCAGGGATCTTAGGTCTTTCTAGCGTGTAGGGATTATATAGGGATAATGGAAAAGAAAATGGAAGCTACCATGATGGGTAAAATGGGGTTTAGGGTTTAGG